AAAAAAAAAAACCCTGGAGGGGCTTCTCCCAGGGGGAGGCGAGACAGTGTGGTCAGAGGTGGTCACAGTGACACTTCTGTTGCTTCTGGCCCTGCGTGTACCCTCCCTCATCACCTTTCTGTTGACCAGTTCAGTTGTCCTGTTCATTTGGCCCTCTTGGACCTGAACTTGAGGGAACATGGCTGAGAGCGCCCAGGTCCCAGGTAGCCCCGGGTTCCAGTCCCTCTAGCCCTGAGGCCCCCTTCCTGCACACAGCAGGTTCTGCATGCCATGATGACCATGGGATGGGGCGGCCCCTCCTCTCAGTTTTGCCAGCTCACCCCCAGCCCCACCTTTCAGGCCAAGGTCGCCTCCTGCCTGGGGGTCCTCCCAGCCCCCAGACCCTCCTCTGTCCCTTTAACCTTTGACTGAAACTCTCAGGCCGCCCTCATTTGCATTCTCAGGCCCTGTCAGCCTGTCTGGGGGAGAGGTCAGGGGTGGCCAGCTGTTTCTGTTTGCCTGGGGCCAGGGGAGTCAGGGCAGCAGATTCTCTGCCTCCGGTGATCCTGGAGGGACTCCACTGCTGTTTAGCTTCTGGGGTGTGGCCGGAGACCCAGGGCATCGGGGTTCCTCTCTCCTCTTTCCTTCCCTCTGTGTGTCCTAGAGTCAGTGCCCTGTCCCTGAGTCTCCATCCTGGGATGTAACCAACTGTGTATTTACAATATTCAAGAATATTTTCTGCCGTGTTCCCTGAACAATGTGGTGGAGCTTTTGCATTGCGTCCCCGTTGCCTTGGGGACCTAAGTGCCCAGGTTGTGTGGGGTGATACGCCTTTTATATCTGGGATGGAGCGTCTGCAGTTTGCGGTGTCCTTAGGGTGTCCTGGAACCAGTGCCTGTGGGTACCAAGGGACACCTGTAGTGGTCACATCTCTCGGTGCATCTGAGGAGTCACTGGCTCAACCCTGGGCAGCCGCTGCTGAATCCCAGGGACTGGGTCTTCTGGGCGCGCCTGCCTCCTCTTCTTGATCCCTCTATCTCCCCTGTTGTGTCGCTGGGCCACCCGTCACCCCCCTGGTGGAACCCCTGTGAGCCTGTGTCCCCCCCCCTCGGGTCCCACTTCTCTCTGTGCCCCCCATCCTCTTGACCTCGCTCTTTGGGGTCTGACAGGGCTGTTCGTGCTCCCTGCCCTGCTCTACCCAGGCCACCTGCCTCCTTTTCCAGCGCCTCTTTTCCTGATGGCGGCCAGAGGTGCTCTCAGGTGTGTCCGGCTTCCCTCAGAAGCAGGCAGCCCAGTTTCCATCCTGCCTCCTGGTGCAGGTGTGTGTGTCCCGTCGCAGCGGTGACAGCGCTCTGCYTGCACACAGCATTTACTGGTTGGGAGCCATGGACTTTGGACCCTGCAGTTCACTCCAGGCAGAGGGGAGAGTGGGCGCAGCCACCAGGCCTGTGTCTGGCTCTGCCCTGTGCCAGCCGCGGAGTCCCTCTGCCCTGGCTCTGGTCTGGGAACAGAGGTAGCGCTGCTCCAGCTCCGGGTGCTGGCACCTCTGTGAAACTCCCCCAGAGAGTACGGTGCCTCTGGGCTCATTTGTTCCGTTGGGTCCTGTGTCTCCATAGTGTTCGTTCCCAGCGTGGAAGAATCAGCGGGCTACCTCCCTGCTGGCCACCTCCCTGCTGGGGCTGCATCGGGTCCTGAGAGGGCCACCTCTGGATGCTCTGGCTGGGAGCCGGCTGCTTCCGTGCCAGGCGCGTCCCCACAAGATGTGGTCAGGGATGCGCACGGCACGGAGTCAGCACCAGGACCTGACAGCTCCTCTGCAGGCCTTCTGGGAAGTGTCTCAGGAACTGACCCTCTCGTGCCGGGAAGGTGATGATGTGGCAGTAGAGCGCGGCCCCCCTCCGTGCCCTGCTTTCTGCCTGGGCAGATGGCTGCGGCCCCTCACGGGACCCTGTTGGACGCAGCGCTCCTCCACTGTGGGGTCGGCTGTGGGAGCGGGCGAGCAGATGGCCCTGCTGGCAGCAGCTCCTGGCTCCCTTGGCGCCCCAGGAGCCGGCTTGGCTTGGCACGAGACGTAAGTGGTTGTATGCCAGGCAGGGCACTGGGAGGCGATGGGCTGTGTTGTCCCAGAGTGTGGGCT